TTTGCTGCAAGTATGGCTGGATAAGAGGAAGAATCGCCATCATCAATATACCGAACATATCTTAATTCTTGCCTCAATAGAGGACTGAAAACATTCACCAATTCCTTTTGCCTCCATTGATCCATCCGATCCTTTGTGATTAATCGAGCAAACATGAATGTCTTTAAACGTCATTTATTTTGGTGGATCTTGGTGTTCATTCCAATACTCACAAGATTTGCACTTCTTAGAAAGTATGCAATAATCTATACATTTTCCATTTGTTTTGCTTATTATAGTAATAAATCCATTTAGTGATGAGTATCCTCTCTTTTGCCAAGCTTCGTCCCTTGAAATGTCCTCATCAATTACTATACAATCATTATAATTTTTTTTCAAACTAATAATTCTTATTTCTTTAGCTACAGCACTCATGCTAGCTTTGGCAATGTAATTGTAAGAGTTGGCAACTTCTTCACTTAATGAGTTAAAAGAAGATTTGTTCATAAGATCAGGCATATTCATTAAACCGCAGAATTTTTTTATACTAGAGTATCCTTTACCTATTTCTCGAAAAGCTAATACAATTCTTAAATTAATTTCAAAAGGTTTTGGACTGGTTGTTACTGGTTTGCTTATAGTTTTACTTGAATAAAACTTTTGCTTCCATTAGCAAGATCCGCATGATATAAATATACAGTGTGATAAACCTTTTTTAAGTTTAGCATCATGGTTAAAAGTAACATTTGCAGAACATTTTGGACAGCAGCCAATGGTAGTTATTATTATTTCTAAAATGTTAGTGTTCATAAAAATATAGCAGTCATTGGACTGATCACCATCAGCAGAAAAATTATTTTCATTTACAAAATTATTATTTACAATATTTACAGAAGATTTACTACTAGAACTGGTTGACATTACGTTAATTTTTTTTGCTGAGCTACATTTGAATTGTAATTCTTGTAAATTAGATAGATTTTCTTCAACTACAATGTTTGATGTTTTATGTTGGTTTCCTCTGAAGAATCTACGTTTTTTGCTATACCTTATTTTATTTGTTTTATCTTTATTTCTCATGATTTTAATAATTATTTAACCAAGGTATGATCAAGGTAAGAACACAGAGAATAAGCCAAAGATTGATGTGGTTGTTGTTAAGTAATTAGACATATAGTGAAGAAATCCGTTAATAACTATGTAACATACAGCACCAAAAACATTAATTATTAAACAAAAAGTAGTTTTAGAGTAGCAATTGCCACACATGTAGTTTTTTTATTAATTTTTATGGTATTTTGAAAGATAACTTGCTTTTTAGCTACATAGCAACGGAATAAACAATCCGTTGCTATGGAAAAATTTTAAAAATACTCTAAACCGCATTATTAAAAGTTGATTTTTGATAGGGTTAGCTTTAATTTTATATAAAACTAATTCGAAATTTTTAATCTACAATAATTATATTACTTAAAAACTTTAAAACTGAAAAAACTATTTTTTTGATTTTTAATAGTGGTCTGCCACCTTAAACCTTTAGAATTTTACTGAACTTCTACTGGCAGTTTAAAAAATGGTTTATTCTTGACTTCATTAAAGAAAACCGAGAAAAAAAATGAAATCTTGAATAGCCTTCTTGATAGCTTGAGTAACGATTAAAAATAAATAAAAAAAAGGAAAATAGGATATTTTGAAGCAATCTCTCTTTTTGATTACTTAAAACGTTTTTTTTAGAAAGAGACTTCAGATAAAACTTTTTTTTTGAAGTTTTACTTATTTAAAACGTTTTTTTTAGAAAAAGACTTCAGATAAAACTTTTTTTTTTAAACGCAACGATTAAAAATCAAATTTATCCAATCAAAATTTGAATAGCATAAATTTGAAAAAAAAGTTGCGTACTTTATACGCAAAGAAACTTTTGCAAAGACTTATTTTTTACATCTTTAAATATTTAAAATAAAAGTAGAAGGTCAACTATAAAAAATTAGCAAAAACTGAATTGTTTTTTGAACTTTTCTCAAAAAATTAATTAAGAATAATTGGTTACACAAAAAATATAGAATTTTGGACCCCTTCCCCCCCCCCCCCCTCCTCTAGGTATATTAGTGTATAATATACACTTATATAACTTATATAACTATATAAGTTATATAAGTGTGTATTATAAACCTATATAACTTATATAGTTATTTAAGTGTTTAATATATAATCATATAAACATTTAATTACATATTATAAAAACAAATAAGTTAATAAAAATTCAAAACATTATCACAATATAACATTATAACAGTATAACAATAATAATGCAATTTCTTATTCGAGAAGCCATTTTTAAATAACTTTCTCACTTTAAACTAAAACAATTTGTAGACTAACAAGAGATAAAGAGAAAAAAACTGTAATTTTTAAAAAAAGATGTTGATTTCCTTTGAATTTGGTACAGCAAAAAAATTAGAGGTTTTTTCATAAAATCTTTTTTTGTACCGAAATAAAGCGAGAAAAGTAAGCGAATATCTTGCAAAAGGGGTGGTCCATAAAGTACGTACGCTTTTTTTTCTTCCACTTCCCCTCCCCTGCTGCCGCATTTTGCAATACGCTTTTTTGAGTACCCTCCGCCTCCCTAAAAGTAACTAAGCTTTTAAACTATTTATCTAACATTTTACGATATTTTTTGTCTCCTTTCTATGGCTGACTCACAGCCCTCCCATCTCATATATGCCATTTGCAGACCTCCTCTTGCCTTTCAAGCGTACGTACTTTATAAACGATCCCAAACGATAATTTTCTGCCTTTCGTTTCGTCAAACTTGCTAAAATTTACCGTTTTGTTCCAAGATGCAACAACTTATAACAGCAATTAACAACTGATGTAATTTATTTCTGTTAGTCGCACGCTATTTTTGTAAATAATTAAGCAAACTTTTGTTTATGTATGTTTGTTATGTATGTTTTGTTTATGTTATGACATTGTAAAAAAATTTATTTTATTTATTATATATATTTATAAATTTAGTTTATATATTTTTTTATTTAAGGAACAATAAGTTCTAAAACAAAAGTTAAAAGTAGAAAATTAAAAGTAAAAGTAAACAAAGTTGTTTTATTAACAGATAATAAACAGAAAAAAACATAAATGTGCACATACAGCCTTTTGGCTCTTCGCTAACTAACTTCTAAAAAAAGTATGGTGTTTATTGAATTCAAAAATATCTTAGTAACTATTGATATATTAGCCACTTGTAACTTGGGTTTCTCAATCTTTTAACAGACTGGGTAATATTTTCAATTGAGCATCTAATAGATCAAGGAAACAAGTCATTTCGAAAAAACCATAAGTCATTTTTAGTCAAAAAATAGTTAATCACAGAACTGAGTTATCTGAAGGTACATACAAGTTCCCTTAATAGATTACATTAATCTGGCTTTCCAGCATGAGTTGGGTTGCGACTTTGAATTACAGTTAATTTCATAAACATTTTCTGAATGAAAACTTTCTGTATATAAAATGCTCTGATTTTCAACAGTAGTATCCTGGAATCAATGTAAATTTTAAATTATATTTGAAAACATTTAAGCTGCATTTTTTGTTGAGTTTAGATTACTTCAAGTTGACACATAATGTGCACATAAAACTGCACATGTAATGAGTTAGAGGTAAAATTTAAAAGTAAGTATTAAAGCAACAAGTCAGCTGCAGCTGTTGAGAAAACAGTTCATATTCGCAGAACCAAAACGTTTTCTAAAAAAATTAAAGAATTTGCCCAAAAATGTCAAGATGATAATAAAGTTTGCAACTTTTTTGCATATCAATTCAAGAGACATTTTACTTCAGACAGCTTATTGTTAGTGTTTTCTGCACACAGAACTTTTAAGATAATAGACTCTAATTTGTTTTTGTAAAGGCACCAGATAAAGTTTGCTCCTTTCTACTAAAATTTATAGAATTTTGCATTTGTTTTCTAACGGGTGCGAGGGCCAAAACAAAAACAACGATTATATGACTAATAGGATTTATGCATTAAAAAAGATTATATTGACCTCATTCAGTCATCCTCCAAGAAAAAAGCATTTTCTGTTGTCATTGTAAAAAATGCTGACATCTACGACTTTAAGAATGGTGGCCTCAATTTTATAAAAAAAAACAAAGTTATCTGATGAATCAGTTGGCCCAGGAACAAAAAAGTTACATTCAAATTCAGCACTTTTATGCATTGGAATCACAAATCTGAAACTATAGGGAAAGTAATTAGCAGAAACTATATTAATGGATTTCAGTTTCAATAATTTTCTTTAACAGAAGAAATTAGTTTAAGTTAGATGTAAGTTTTCATTAAGTATTCGAAGGGGCAAACATAGTTTAGTTAGAATTTTCAGCAACATTCATAATTGGTGCATCTATTAAATAATTTGGCATTCTTGAAAACATTTAATCTGTTTTTTTGCAGAAAAAAAGCGACTAAAGTGCATACATTCTACATGTTGGACAACGCGTACTAAATCAATAAATGCAATCTACGTGAAATAGCCTACAATCGTTGATAAGCTAGAAGAGATAGTAATTGAAAGAGGATCAAACTATTTTGTCTAAAAAATTAAGGTTCAATTGCTAAAATGAAATTTTTTGCATATATATGACTATATGTAGTTAATGTGTTGTCTACTGTTTTAGGGCATTTTGGAGCGTATATAAGTTTTTCTACTACTTGTGTAGTAATTAAGCATATCAAAAGAAATACATTGATAATAGCATGGAGTTTTCCAAATGAGAGTTTAAGGGTCAGTTTCCCAAATAAGGGGCAATGGATCATTGTAAGGTTTAAATGTAGAACAGTTATGAGGGAGTTTTTAGAGCTAATGATTGGCATTTTTTATATACTAAAGGCTCTTCTCTTCATACTGATTTTCAGCCTTGAAGATTGCATGTTATAAATAGGATTTTATCTTATGCATAACTTTATTTTAATGTAGGATTTTGCATTTATCATAGTAAGATTTTTTTATAGCATTTTTTTTTTATAGAATTCCACTAATTGCAAATTAGGCTGTCAGTTCTTCAGCAATATTACAAACACCTCAGGTATTATTTGTTAAAATCGATATCAGTTTTTTTACTTTAACAGTATACAGCCGCGCAATTAGGATTTCAGAAAAGCGGTTTCCAATTTTATGAGTCCTTGGTTTTTACTTTGTGAAACCCAAAGCGTGCATATTTATATGATATATGTTTACTTTTTTTTCATAAAGTCTTTTTCACATTCATTTCAAACTCCAACACTTTTTCTTCCTTTTGAACTTAACACAACACACTTAATAACGATTAATAGTGTTTAAAGCTGGAACAAGAAAATGTCATTTAACACACACACATTCTAAAACAATAAAAAAAGGCGTTTCTGGGTACAATGAAAACACCCCTAATTGCGCAACTGAGTATATTTTATCTTTAACCTTTTCTAAAGTGAAAAACTTGTTTCAGTTTTTTTTTTTCTTCAAAAACGGAGGAGTTTAAAAATTAAATTTAAAATAGTTTTTTTTTTTTAAAAAACAAGTTTTTAAATTTGATTTTTACAAAATATTAATGTTATTTTGGTTAGCATGTCCTAGAGCAGTATATTCTGAACTCCAATGCAAGTCTGTAGACTATTGTTTTTATATAAAATTTTTAATTTATATGTTTATTTAGAACCAAATGATAGCAATAATGAAAACAAACCTTATGTAAATTCTACATATGAAGTAGTTGCGACTAAGATTCAATATTTAAAAGTTACTTTCAACTGGCCAATAATTTTATCAAACAACAATAAAATAAAGAGCATTTATATAATTACAATAACATTTATAAATGAAAAGACAGAATGGATTTTGGGTTTAGTATGTTGTTTTTGATTTTTATTTTGTTTTTTGTAAGACTTGTTTCAACAGTACGTTTATACTTTTTTTTGTTTTTGTTTAGGTGAGTGAAAACACGTTTACAGTTGAAGAGAATTTTCTTTGTAGTAATCTTAATAAATATGTGGAAGGATCAGAATTTCAGTTAAACGTGTATCCAATTAACTTTAAAGGATACAATCAAACCATCAAGTTATCTTCAAATTATACAAGTATCTTTTTACAATATTAGGATATAAGATAAAAATTAATTAATTTTTTTGTAATTGCGTTAAAAATTTCAAAAAAATTATTTTTGACAACTAGGTCTGATTTTTTTTTTTTTTAAACAATGTTATCAAAGATTTATTTACCATTACCCAGATGGCACAGACGTGAAAAATACGTAATTTAAACGTCTTAAACACGTCTTAAACGTCTTTTGAACGTTTTGGACGTCTTTTAAACGTTCAAAAGACGTCTTTTTTTGGTCCTGCGCCCACTGGGTATTAACTCGCAAATATCGTTCCAACAAAAGTATGTATTACAAAATAACTGCGGACTGTTATTAGCAGTCTGTTTTCACGTACTGTACGGGTATCCAATTGGCTAAGATTTTCCGATATATTTATTAACTTACCAATAGTAGCCCGGAGTAATTCCGATCGGACAAAAGCAATTTGGACTAATAACTCATAGCCAATTAATAGTATTTAAATAACTTTCGACTAATACAAACTTACTAATAAACCAATCATCTAACCCTTTCATGCACTGGGTTGTGGTGCAACAACAAACTGAAAATTAAAAGAAAGCGCATATGAAACGGCAACAATTTTTGTTTTTTTTAACTAAAATTAAATGGGTTTTGGTTCATAATAAAAACTTTTTAAAATCAGTTTTTTTCAAAAAAAAGCATAAAATTAGGTTTCCTAAACCTAATCATATAACTTTTGATACTAAATTAATTTGATTTTCTTTGTGTTGGGTCGCAAAAACAGAAAAGAATTTACAAGGTTATTGAATATATTAAAAAAATGCACAGCACTATATTTTACCAAGATAAACCTTGTCAAGTCTATATTTTGTTTTAAAGTAATAAGTAAAATAGAAGCTTGAAAATTTCTAATTCTAATGATGAAGTTCATATGTTATTTGAGATAAAGTTTACATTCAAAACAAAAAATTTCCACAAATAAGGTTAAACAAGGTACATTATAATAACAACTTCAAGAAAATAGTAAACCAAGTATTTGTTCTAGATGATCTTTTTTTCAATGAATATAAATTAAGTATAAAAAACTGTCTGTTCAGACATATTAGTTGGACATCCCAACTGCTTTTTATTTTTTCCTACCAACTCAATACAAAATTGATTAACACCGATCAAACAACGTCAAGCAACTTAACATTATAAATGTATGTTTTTTTACATCAACTAATCCAAATTTGTCACTTCTATCTGTTTCATTGATGAAACATTTTAAACGGTTAATAGATTCAACCAATCAAAATATTAACAACATTTAAAAAGACATTTTGGAGATCTGAAGTTTATCTTTCACTCCCGCTATTAACGTGAACCAAATTTCAGAATATTTTAAAGAAGAGTCAAAATTATTTGGTAAAATCTCTATGCAACTATTGTAAGTCCACAACAACACGTAAAGAAAATGCTTTTAAGAGTTACCTATTTGATAAAAAGCAAGATACGCTAAATTCGGCCTACATTTACTGTGTAACTTAGCAAAACCTGAGAAACTGAGTAAGTTAACTGGCATATTTACCTATTAAATGCTCCTCCATCTGTTGTAATCATAAATGGTTAGATTGTAAAATAATAACAACTATTTAAATTTTTTAAAGGTCTTACAGTTCCTATAATTTTTTAGCGTTTAAAAATTACGACCATGTTAAGTTTTAGCATTAATTAATATAGTTGTATATATAAAAAATCAAAGTTTTTAAATATTAATATGTACGAATTGATAATTGTTAAATATAGGGGAAACTGGGGTGTAATCGGATACAGTCAAACTGTCAAAAATAATTAAAATCAAAATAATTTTTGTTTAAATGACAAGAGACTGAATAAACTACGATCTGATAAAAGAAAATGCCAATAACATTAAAAAAAAACAAAGTTGTTCAATATTTAAAAATCTATGAAAAAAAAACATTTTGCTTCATGCTTGGGGCGATTAGGGTATAAAATGTAACAATAACATATGTTTTAGAATTCATTCAATGTTTAAACATAGTTCACAAATAAAGTTTGGCCGTTATCTTTTTCTAAGGAGCCAACACAAAAGTAATATACCCAGCTGTTGCAATCACTAACTTTCAACACTAGTAAAGTAATTTTCCTGAAAGTAGAGACATGAACTGCCTTGCTCTAAATTTTTGACTGTTTTCTTATTTTTAAAATGCAGTGTTTTGTCCATCTACTGCAGCTTTTTTTTTTTGATGCATAATCATTTTTGTAAGACATTTTGAACCTTTTTCCTTTTTGTTGAAGGATTTGGCTCGTTTTTTCTCAGGGTGTCTAACAGTGAGGCTCTAGATTTAAAAAAAGGTCAAGATTGCAGTTTTTACTCTCTGCCTTGGTAGTCTCTTTTGCAGTGACTGCTCTGGTATTGGAATAATAAGACTTGGAGATATATTTTGAAATGATGCGGTATTAACATTGCTCGTAAAAGTGGTTAAAATGGTGGAAGACTTGGTTATTATGCCGGTAAAGTCAGATGATTGGCTTGTCAAAGCAATTGTGTGGACGTTAGAAACATTTATTTTGCTGCTAAAAGCAGACATTATGAATACAGATAACATTTGATAATTGGTACTTACAGATTGATGACTGACAGAAGTACCGAGGTTACTTGTAACAACAATGTCACATGTGTCAGTTACAGGGGTTGTTTCAACAAAAATAATATCAGCAGTTTCTGCTGCCAGAAAGTCTGCTTTGGAAAAGAATTTCTATTAACTGCTGATATGCCTGCTTTTTGAAAGCCATTAATAGCATTTGTCATTGTTGCAGCTTCCAGGTAATCTTAAAATAAATAATTAACCATTTAAAACTACTCTATTCACATGCTTTATATATATATTTATTGATATATATATATATATATATATATATTATTA